CTGCCTTCATTTTTCGTGTAGTGATGATCGAAAATTAGGGTTGATGAATGTTAGCTGATGAGCTGGTTGATGAGTTAAATAAAAGAACAGTACAGAAAATGTAAGTCATATACAGCATTCAATTTCACAATTTTACTTTTATCATTTCCTACGTGTATTTATCCAAAGTATGAATTCTGTCTTCTCTTTGAAAGGTATCTGTATTTTTACCCAAAAAATCCCGGACTTTGTCCACTTTAAATAGATATACTCTAATGCAATCAAATTTCCAGGGTAATTGTTACTTAACAGAGGCCATCCCAGGTAACCCAGACCAGACCCAATGCCATTTGGAATCTGGTATTAACAAATCTCCTGTCATCAAGTGGATGTACAATAGTTGTGGTTACGCATACCAAGGTAAATAGCATTCCCAAGGTAAATAACACCAAGGTAAACTTACTGCAGGAATTATGTTACCGAGGTGTTTGTGGTCACACGAAATACTTTACCAAGGTCAATCTTACACACTTGACTGGTTTTGGCGCAAAATACGAAAATGGATAATTCAAGGGAGCTTGCAAGCATTGTCTCGCTACTGTTACGTATACTGTTTTGACAGTCCTCTAATGCCTTGCTTTATCAGCTTTTTACACAGTGAAGAATTAGAAGGCGAAGACTCTGTTTGCGCTTTATTAATGCCATAGCGCCCAGTATCAACTACCTAATAGCGCAGCGAAATAATCAAGCATGTGCACACGCTCCCAGAAGTGTTTGGGTTCTTCCACATCCACACATGTGGTTTCAGCAGCTGCTGAACTATCATGCACTGGATCATTGGTGGAAAGAAAATTTCAGAGTTACTAGGGGAACTTTTGAGTACATATGCCAGCTTGTTGGACCAGCACTTCAACGACAAGATACCCATATGAGAAATGCCATCCCTGTCGAGAAAAGATTGGGAGCAAGTTTATGGAGATTGGCGACTGGTGAATGTTACCGCTCATGTAGATTGATGATTGGACTTTCCAAATCAGCTGTTAAATGCTGTCATGAATTTGTTCAGCAGCTTTGTCTGTTGAAGGGCAATTACATTAAGTTTCCAACTACTAGGGCTGAAGTGCAAGCCAAAGTAAACGGATTCTCTGAACGGAGCAAGATTCCAAATATAACGGGGGCAGATGGTGGCACTCATGTTCCTATAAAAGCTCCCAAAACAAACCATGAGGACTATTTTAACCGTAAATATTACTACAGTTATGTTTTGCAAGGTGTTGTCGATTCTACAGGACTATTTTTATCTGTTTCAACCGGGTATCCCGGGAGGTAACATGATGGAAGGGTCCTCAGACTAAGTCAGCTGTTTGACACTGCAGAAAATGACTTGATTTTAACTGAACCAACAGTAGATGTTAATGGTACTATTATACATCCACACATTGTTGGCGACTCTGCATATCTGTTAAAACCATGGCTGCTTTGTCCCTTTAAAGATAACGGAGCACTTAATCGAGAACAAAAGAAATTTAACGAGGAGTTGTCAAAAGCTAGAATTGTTTCCAAGCACGCATATGGCTTAACAAAGGGGAGATAGAGAGTCCTACAAAAATGGTTAAACAAAGACAGTGACTGAATTCCAGACACTATAATTGCTTGCTGTATTCTTCATAACATTTGCATTATAAGAGGGGATTGCTATGAAATCGACAACGATGACGACGACGATGATGATGACGACAATGATGATAATGGAGTACCCTCGTGAGGAGCTCAAGGCATTAGAAGAGCACTGGTAGACTACTTAGCTAATCTTTAGACAAGGAACACACTTTAGTGGTAAAATACAATACCCCAAGAAATAGAAACATTTTAAAAGTGTTTTATATTTTTAATGCACTGAGTAGTACATATTTCATCCAAAAATATCAATGCTTTGATACTAATTTTCAAAAAATATGTCTCTAAAATCGAAACGAACTGTCGTTTTTTTACTATTAACTTGTAACTGGTTATGTTTGAAATGAATGTTCTCGTGTCGTATATATCATCATGTAAATATAAAGGATGGTTACATCATCAAGATATTAGTAACAAGTTCACAAATCCCATGTAGTGCACGGACAATAAACAATTAAAATTTGTAGACAGCACTCATAAGGATGGGTTTATTTTTTAGTGGCAAAAATGTCTCCAATCTTCCCGAGAACGGAAACAAAGAGTTGCTGATGGCGTTGTTCGGATTCCCCTTGAAACTTAAGCATTGCTTCCATAATTTTCTGGTCTTTTTCTTCCAATTTCGTGATCACTTCTTGTTGTGCTTTTAACAGAATTGTTTACATTTAACTGCAGACCACTAGTTTGGAACAAAGAGTTTATTGTCAGACTAAAAACTATGATACAAGAGCTGACGACAATATAACTCCAACACCTTAGGGTGGGAGGGAATTAGGGTAACAAAATTAGCTTGACCGCGATTACAAGAGATTATGACTGATTACACGTTACTTGTACAAAGATAATATAATGCTTATGACGTCATAACATTTAACAATGAACCATCCTCCTAAGATGACGATTGACACAATTGTTTACATTTAACCACAGACCACTAGTTTGGAACAAAGAGTTTATTGTCAGACTAAAAACTAAGATACAAGAGCTGATGACAATATAACTCCAACACCAAACCCAAACAAGAAGTAGTATGTGGTTAAAGGTAAAATGATAAGAAAAATATATATTGAAATTGACTGAGATGTGAAAGAAAACAAAATAAAAATTTACGGGAACAAAATTACTGCGATGACAACTGATGAATTTTAGTGGCCATAGAATTTAAAATATGATTATCTGGGGTGTACAGGGTCAGGGGTTCTTCCACATACAGTGTATATACATATATATAAAATGGAAAAAAATAAAACTGCAATGTCATTGCAATCATTTGTATTTCGCTTTCTTTATTAATAAAAACTGAATGTGTGCATTGCTGAATGACACTTGTTCACCATCATTGCCCAGTTGGTTTTAAAAACTTAAGGCAAATGTAAGGGTATAATAACAAAGACGAAAATGTTTGTCTCATTAGATTTCTGTTATTGTTATTGTTCAGTGTTTTTTTTAAATTCCAAACTCTCAAGATACCTGTTAATGTCAATGGTAGAGAAATGGTAATTCTCACTATGCCAAGGCATCCACTCATCTAGAATGAAGTTGAGCATCTGGTAGTTATATCGGGACCTCTGCAGCTGGCTCGAGTGTCTGCCATCTGATGCCTCATGCCATTGTGCAATGGTCTGCACATAACAAGCTTCTGAGTTATGACCATGCCTCTCAAGAGAATTTACCACATGGTATGACAAGAGCCTCTCTGCATCCTTCACACTTTGCTTTCGCTTACCAACCAAAGCAGCATGCGTCAGGCCACTCGGGATCAGCCAGAACATCTGAAAATGATTTATAGTTGAGTGCACTGTAACTCCCATTCCTTAAATGCTGTGCAATCCTTTTGAGAAGGTGGTTGTGGTCAGCTCTATCATGGTGTACCAGGCCCGTGACAGGATCAACGTCCGTGACATAAAGGTGAGATGTAAAATCTACACCCTGTAGCTTGAGCTCTGCAACCCTCATGCAGAAAGTGTATGTAGACACAATTGACCGGAGCTTGTCAAGAAGCGACTCGGTTGTGTTACTCCGGAAGGGATAGGGGGTGTATCCAGCAGGTACTAGACTGCCCCTAAGGTGTCCACGTGCTCATGGTGGGCAGACAGCCATTATTGTGCTCTACCAAACTTCACTTATACTTCGCTTTAATTTTGATAATTTTAATAATTTTGGGTCCTTCTGGGCTACTTTCGGTATCAAACACTAGGACAAGCTGCTTGGAACTCTACCATTCTCAGGAAATTGGCCATGTTCCTGGTGCGCTTTGCCTTAGTGTCAGGTGCGCTTTGCCTACATCTGTGCACTTTGCCTAATATTCCAAAGTGCACTTTGCCTGAGTTGTGCGCTTTGCCTAAGTTGTGCGATTTGCCTAATCATTTACTGCACCGTGCCTAAGTGCGCTTTGCCTAACAACCCATAATCCTTTGTGGAATGGCTTGGTTTTTAGGGTTTATGTAGTGCTTGTTGTGTGACTTGTTATGGTTTTAATTTAATTCCATTCCTATGTAATCTGAATTTTTTATGAATTCTTAAAAAGTGCGCTTTTTGCGTCCACTTCTGTTTTGCTAGTTGATTTTTTGGGCACGCATGCACTTTCAAAGCCTATTTTTGTTTTTGTTAGGACACAAGAACGACAGGCCTTCAGGATGAGTTATTAATATTTTATTCTTAAACAGTATTATGGAAGAAAAAGGACCTCAAATGTAAGGAGCAGGGAAGTGAAGGAGATGTTGGACAGGCTTTCATTGGGTATGTCTCGCTACTTCTCTGCCGCCTATGCGCAGCTCAGCCTATATTTTTGTTGATCTTTGACACCCGAAGAATGGCTCCCTTTCTTGCTGTTGTTTTTTATGGGGTGGCATCAATATAGCCAACACCCAACCCTCCTCCTGTGTCATCCTGGACTTGGGACCAGGCAATTGTGGAGTTAAAAACGCAACAGTTATTTTATTTTTAATATTCTTATTTTAACAACAATGACATTTGTTTTATAATATTTTTTTTGTTTACTTTTCAGAACAAAACGATAGTACAACAACAATAAGGTAATTTCAAAATTACGTTTCACTATTTCTTAGAATGCGTCTTGCACAATGTGTCTTCTTTTAAGAACTAAACGATAGTAAAATAACGATAGAGTAATGTCACAATTAGGTTTCACTACTTCTGAGAACACTAGTTGTACAATCTTGTGTCTTCTTTTCAGAACTAAACAATAGCAAAGTAATGATAGAGTAATTTAACAATTACATTTCACTACTTCTGAGAAGGCTTCTTGTACAATGTTGTGTTTTGTTTTCAAAACTTAACGATAGTACAGGAACGATAGAGTAATTTTACAATTACATTTTACTGTTTCTGAGAACACTTCTTGTACAATGTCTTTATTTTCTTGTGGCAGAGATGTGTTTGAGAACATTGTCGGTTTCAAATAGATGCATTATTTCTCTTCTCAGAGGCATAGTCTTAATTGGGTGAAAGAAGTTTTCTAAGACCTCCACGGCATCAGCATCCCATTGCCTACATGACTTTGAGGACACTGAACCAGTGTCAGGTAGGGTTTTAACGCCGTCATCATCTGGTTGATCAACTACGTCTTTGAGAGTCCTGGCAAGCTTTGTGCAATACTGCACAAAGTCGTACACTTTCTTCACTTTACGCGGCTGCACCACCAGACTCTTGAGATGATTGTCATTTTGCATTTGTGCCAGCACTTCTTGCTCAGACAGAAACTCTCCTCGCTTGATCTCTTTCTTGAATATGCTCCTCGCCACAAGACGGTCTTCTGCAGTCAGGCTTGCAGGTTTGGAAGTGGACTTGGAGGTCGATGCCTCACCTGACTTGTCAGGAACAGTAGACTGTTGCTTCTTAAGTTTGAGGTCCTTAAGGGGGACATCATCGTCTTCATCATCAGACTGTACAGCCTTAGTTGCAGAAGTGGATGCTTTGGTTGGACTGCCTTTGGGAGAGTCTGTAGCTCCTTGTATAATGCTTTTCATGATGTTGTGTGCTGAAGTGGCCTTTCTAGCATTAAGACTGAGGACGTAATTTCTATCAGCAGTTGTTGTTTTGTGCTTCATGTGAGATGCGACGACTCGCTTAGCATGCACCGAAAGCTTGTCTGCTGCTGAGCTGAACAGTTTGAGTATACTTGTGGCTGTTACACGATGCTCTGTACATACTCCAGCGTGCTGAAACGTTTCAGCTACCCGACGCCCGATGGTGCCATGTGGAAATCGTTCGCCATTTTCTTTGATGAAAAGATGTTTTTCACTTTTGACAGCAAACTCTGGCCGTATAACATCTGCGTATACTTTCACCATATGGTAGAGTTGCGCATTAACAACCAGCTCGGCAGGTCCCTGATGCTTGGTGGTCTTGTGCTCGTCAACTATCACTATGTACTGGTCATTGTCTTTCACGTACGTGGCACGGCAAAACCTGTCTAGCAAGCAATACTCTAATGGGCCAGGGCGAGCTGTATTCTCAAATAAGGTAGTGACCATTAGGTAATCACGCACTTGCACGAACTCGTTTTTGCTTAGACTTCTGAATCCATCCGACACCTCCCCAATCAGCCTTACTGCCGTTCGCGCATATTCAGTCTGGGCGAATTTGCACACATCAGCTGTTTCCACTGCCGTAAATGATTCTTCGACTTTCCTAGTGGTTGTTTGGGTGGCTGTCAGACGACGAATGGATTTGCTATAGTCTGACAACATTTGGCAAGGTGATGAGACTTTTTTCCCTTGTCAGTCAAGTACGTGTTTTTGTAAAAGACGCCTCTCTCGATGAACTGCCTGAAGAGTTCTAGAGATTTCAAGTATGCTTTCAATGTGTTCCCCTTCAAAGTTCCATCGTCAAGGTTTGGCTTAAGAAACTCTGTCCAAATGTCCATGCTGTCGTTGCGAATTAGACAGCAGAGGTCTTTGCCATCTGGGTCCATGGCCTTCAGGATCATGTGCACTTGCCGGACGTGTAACAGTGTTTGCTCTTCACGAATGCTGCCTCTGACACCATGCATGAGAAAGAAATAGAACTGGCTTAGAAAATGTCCCCTCTGGGTTTTGTTTTGGTCTGAAGTCATGCGGTAGTACTCCTTCCAGCACCTGGCGGTCTCCGATAGTTGGCTGGGAACATCTGAGCCATCCCCGTCCTCCCTGTCCTCCTCAGTTGGAGTGTCGTCTTCAGCGGAGTCGTCATGAAGGGAGTAGTCACTCTCTTCAGTGGTGGTTGATGTCTGTCTCTTCATCCTTGCTCTCATCAAGTAACTTGGCCTTTTTGATGGGAACAGCTGCAGTTTTCTTCTTTTTTGGCGCAGGTGCAACTGACGAAGACTTGTTCTTGATACTGGGAGATGGAAGCGGGTGTTTGGAGCCAGAGGGTTTCTTGATACTGACACTGGATTTGACCGATGACAATGATGGCGTGTTTTTCTTCTTCTGAGATGGGCCTGATATACGAACAAAAGTCTTCTTGGCAGTCACAATGGTGTCAGGGTCTCCAAGCTGGTGGACTCGATGCAAGTGTTGCGATATCCGTGTAACTTCTTTTTCACATCCTCTGTAGCCACATTGATACCATGAAGTAGGCCTTTTATTACTCTTCTCTTTGGATTGACACTTTGCCAGAAGATCAGCCTTTGCTACCCACACTTTGGCAGTTTTGGTGTCTGGCAATTCTACAGGATGATTCTTCAGGAGGTGTGCGAGCAGGAGAGTGCTAGTGTGAGGGCAGAGAGGGCATTTCCTCTTCTTGTTGTGGTTCCTCTTAGGAGCCTTCTTTGCTGCTTCCGTCTCCTTTTCTTGGTCTCCTTTCTTCTCTGCAGTGCCACCTTCACCTTCATCTCTAGGATTAGCACTGGAAACAACATCTTCTGTCTTTTCTTTTGGGTCTCCTTTGCTCTCCACGGTGCCACCATCATCTCCATCTCTAGGGTTAGCAATGGAATCATTGTCATGTTCTCCCTCTTCATCTTTTTCAGCTTCATCCTCCGAAGAGACGAGACCTTGCACGTCCATCTTTTCTTCCACCAGTACTTCATCTCCATACTCCAGTATTTCTTCCTTTCCATCTCCCATCTGCTGGGAATTTTGCTCATCAATGTCCCCCAAGAGAGCTTTTAGGTCAATGTTCCATTCTTGGGCACCTATCCCTTGATCCAATTCTGTAATAAGAGTACTGGCACACTCGGCCACATCCGAACCGTCAATGGTTGGCATCACCAGGTGTTCCTTGTGCGTCATTCGGCTAACCAGCTGTACGAAGCCCAGTGCAGTCCTTAGTGCTCTTTCAACAGTATAGAGACTAAGCACATTGGACGAGGCAGCTATGGTGCTTAAAGTGTAGGCGTCAGCTCGCAATTCAGATCTATGTGTTTTAACTTCCAGTGGTTCAATGGTCTGGTCACTCATGCGTACAGCATCGGCCAACTCTTCATCCCCTTCCGCTACATTTTGAAGAACTATCTTTGCTTTGGGAAAAGCCGTTGTAGCTGTTGACACAATTCCATCATTAGACATCACCACCGATTCACTGGGAATCAGTTAGATATCAGTGTAATCATAAGATATCACAAACATGGGTCCTCACATAGAGGTCCACAATAAATCAATCAAATCAATCGTTTGTAGACCGTGAAACTCTTAAAATCACCTTCAAAATTAAGGGAGCAGGGTATGTTTGTATTTAGGGTAAGGGTTTCCATTAGGGAATGGGTACAAGTAATTTAAGACAATGGGCAGGTGGGCCTTGAATGCTTCTATATACCTTCCAAATCTGAAGGCAAATGGTTAAAACCCCTTTGAGATATTAGCAGTTAAATTTTTGTCTCGTTTTTATGTGGATATTTCGAGAGAGTATTGGATACTAGTTTACACATCCGCCATATTGGACAAAACTTAAATCACTTATAACTCCTAGAGGTTTTAACCATTTTCCATGATATTTACAGGGTAGATAGAGGACACTTAGGCCTATATAACAGTATATAAGTTTCACGATCTACTTACGTAATGGCCATGATATAAGCCAATCAAATAACACATCAAACTCATTCATTATTCATGCAATATTGAACCGATTTGCATAAAACTGGTAGCAAACGGTTCCAAACAATGCTAACTAACACATGGATAGCATAAAACATCAATCAGGGTCCTCCAAACATATCTACGAGGTCCCTTAATAACATAAATACGTAACAGAGCACCCTTGACTTTGTTATGGTTACCACACACAAGCCTTTGTTTCTATCTTAGGGAAAATGCATCAGGTAGTGTCTAGAACACCTTATGTACCTTCCCTGATAGTTGGATGGCTTCTATCTGGTCTCCTAAGGGTGCAAAATCCATCAAAAAACGGAGCAAAAAAAGCATGTACTTACCCAATGAAGGCTTGAAGGGAGAATGGCCGAGGGGAGAATGGTACCAACCTTGTGTAAGCTGCAATAGTATGTTTTTTAAAAGATTAATAAAAATTTAGGTTTTATGATTTTGAGTTGAATTTTTGTTTTTTAGAGCTAAAGGCTTGGACTATCTAACTGGATAAAAATGTTACATAACTGTCTTAGAGTTACCTGTCAATCAAACGATAACTTTTGCAAAAGTGAAAGTGGTTAGGGGTTTAAAGGCAAGGGCTGCATTCGTGGTATAAACGCCATCTTGGGTTCGAGGCGCTCTTTGAAGCTACTATCAAATGCATCGCACTCAAGCATCAGTGTCCTACTACTGCAATTCAGTGGCAACTTTGCGTCTCATTATATTAACCTTATTCATGACATCAAGCTTAATCCCAGACCTTATCAAGCAAGAGGCAACAACAAGAAGACTTCTTCCAGCTCACGGCCAACGGCGTCGACTCCAGTGCACATGCATAACCAACAAAGTCTACTTAGAAAAGATACTCAACAGAAACCTTGGATAATCCATTTCAATTGCAGAAGTCTTCTTCGCCACATCAATGAGTTATGCCTTATATTCACTAGAAACCATCCTTTGGTGATCGCAATTGCTGAAACCTGACTGAACGACACTCTTATAGACTCAGAAGTACATACCTCTGGCTATCAAATGTTTCACTTAGATCGCTCCCATGGCCGTAAAGGCAGTGCTGCTGCTATCTATTTGCTCAATCAGAATGGACTTAAGTTTTCTCGATGATGTGATCTTGAGCATGGATACAAAACTCTCTGGCTGCAATTTGAGATAAATCACAAAAATTATTTACTTTGCTGTGCTTACCGAGCACCAAACGAGTCCCTCGAGATTTTTAATTACTTGGCAGATGTTTTACATAAAGCCACTAGGCACAATATGGGGGTAATTATTCTAGGCGACTTGAATTGCGATTGTTTAAAGAGTGCACTACATCAAACAGAAAGAATAGAGGAGTTCTTAATGGCAAATGAACTTAGACAAATGATAACAGAATCCACCAGAGTAACGAGTACATCTTCACTTGTTGATGTACTTATTACATTGACACCTAACTCATTTGAATCTACTGGTGTTCTATCAGCCTCCTTTAGTAACCACCTACCGATTTTTAAACTCGTGGATACGCGAAGCGTAGAAATGTGTTTGTTGTGGGGACTCCAATATGCAAATGTGTCACTCACTCACTCACTCACTCAGGTGTAGACACTGCTTGTAATTAGTCGGCCCGAACAAGAGCGCCTGAGTCCAATGCCATATTGGAATAGTAACCGTGCAGTCAGTGCAGGCCTACTACCCAATGCGTGCATCATGCCAGCCCGAATATTGATGATTTTGTAGCTTTTACATGACCATTAATATTAGGTGTTTCGCTAAATTGAAGTGGAGTTGACTTCGAATGTTCGAATTAGTACTATGGCCAACTTGAAGGCTGAATTTTAGGAGCATTTGAGTCATCCAGGTGTTCAAAATGACCACGAGATGTGCATTTGTTTGCTGGAAAGTGACCTGAAAAGCTAATCTGGTAAGCTTTGATGAGAATGTGTCTTATTCCTCGACCTTAATGAGCTTATATGAGCGAAACAAACAGCTTTTAATGAACGAAACAGGTATTGAATGCAAGACAAACATTGGCACTGTTGTATAATATTGTAATTTCATTTTTATAATTTAGTAACATCTAAACCTGAGGCCAGGCGAAATATTGTTTTAGCCCTACAACATTGTGTCAGCCTTGCAGTAGTGACGTATTGTTTTACTTTTCAAGTTTGGCTGATTAGATCTGCTGTGAGATCCAACTTTCAATCAAGCAGGACCTTCGTTCACCACTCTGCAGTTTAAACACTTAAGTTTTTCATGTTGAGTTGTCCATGTTCAACCGGCATCGAGTTAAAGTGCCACTAACCCGAAAAATTTTTTTTGCTAATATAAATTTCCTTTATCTCCTGATCACCACTGCGAAAAAATTATCGTTTTAGCTATTTTCGTTAATTTTCTATGAAATTTTAAAGTTTGCAAATTTCCCCTTTTCCATGTTCACGACCGAGGAATAGCGGAGAATGGGACAAGTTGGCTTTTGACGTCACTTCGGGAATAACAATATTTTGTTTCTGAGAAGAATGTATGCAAACATGCGATAGTGTGTCAAAATCGTTGCAGAATGCAAGGAAGATATGTTGTTGGAGGCTGTAGCAATACAGGATGCGTAGAATAGAGTATTCCTCTTCATTCAATACCTCTATCTCGATGAAACTCGGCCAGAAATGAGAAAAAGACCAAAGAAGTGGGCTGGTCTGTGTGAAGCTAA